TGGACAACTGGAGAGAATTGACTAACAAATTCAGTAATTCAGTATCTGGCTTTCGCAGACCCCGAATTCACTAGTGATTTTTTTCACCTCGGTGCAATTTGAAAAAAAAAAGAAAAATTAAAACTGAAAGAAACCACCACTTTTCTATTCATGATTTGTGTTGAAAAATTCCCAACTTATTTGAAAGTGAACAGTTTGAGAGCCATATAAGTTCGACAAATGACGTCCATCGCATGAATTTAAAATATGTTAACTCTAGTACGTTTTACTAAACCGGCTGGAATTTCAATGTAAAACGTAAAATATTTCATTTTTAACAAAAAAAAAGCTATTAGTAATTAAAGGACGGCTTTTAGTGTAGGAAAAACAATCAAAACCTACAATAAAAATCTTAAAACGAACAAAATCATGAAATAGATATCTCCAAACATGGAAAAAAGTGTAAGAAAAACTAGAAACTATCATTTAACATAATGTCAATTTTATTTACCTAATAAAATTAATTACTGTCTTCGTCAATGTTTATGTTCTAATAGTTTCGTTTATAAACATTGGATCATATTCAAGTGACAATTTCATTTACCTTATAAAATTAATGGTTGTCTTAGCCAATGTTTATGTTCTAATTGTTTAGTTTATAAACAAGAGATTATATTCATTAAACTCGTTTAATTTTAAAATAAACATTTAGATACCGACAATAAAGCAATTTTTAAAATTTTTAAACTAAGCATGAAAAAGTAAGCGCATAAAAAACCACTTAAAGTATAATCAAATTTAACTAGTAAAATATTAATAACAATAAAGTACAACAAATTAATTTTTCATTGTAATGGAATACCACATACATCGTTAAGTTTTTCCTTTCAGGTTACATCTTCTGTCATCCATAATTGTATTTCTGAGTAGAAAACTGAGAAATGAGAAGTGAGAAATTCGCAATAGATGGAACATAGAATGTTGAAAAGTTGAAGAAAAGCACATTATAAAAATACCACATTGCTTTTATGCAAAAGATAATAAACCTCAAAAATTGGGAAAAATGCACTTTTTTCAGTCACACATAAAAATATGCAATAACGCCTAAACGAGCTATTTCATGCAAAGAGTAGCGTCAAAAGAAAGTCCTCTCCTTGATTCCAATTTCTGACTTGGTTTCATTGCAACGGGGGTCAGCAATAAAACGAAACAATTGCAATAGGATCCCGTTTTTCTCGTAATAAACGAATTTTAAATACAAAATAAAATAATGTTTATAAATTAATTCATCACATTTTGAATTCAATTTCAAATATAAGTATATTTTTAGCTGTACAAATCTCATTCCCCTGGCCGGCTGACCTCTACGGTCATTTCCGGCTACTCATATATTTTTCCATCTCGCGTTTTTCATTATTACCAGTATCAGGTATATGGTATTCATTGCTGTTTCTAATATTTAATCCTTCCACACGTGGCATTATAGTCCTAATTCTACCTATTACAAACAATAATCGTACCAAGTTTAGTAAGATTCAGAATATTCGAAGTACCACTTAGGACACACCGTACTACTACAGTATTATATTTCACTATATGTTTAAATTTTGGATTTTAAACTTACAGAAAGCGTCTTTTAAACGATTTAAGATTTATTACACTACATTACGATTTTCTAATCCCTCGTTTAAGTTTTATTCAATGGATTAATTTTTTTATTACTAATTAATATTTATTTAGAAATCGTGAGATGCGGTCTGGTGTGATGTAGGTTTCAGAAAAACATTTTCTTCGTCGTGCCAACGTTTCGATCTTTATGGAGATCATCTTCAGGGCCTGGGATTTACAATCATTGTTTACATATACCAATTACATTTTTGATGTGGAAAAGTGAATTTATACAAAGCAAAATATATTGTTTTATATATTCAATCAAAGTATTTCAACTCACCCAAAGTGTTTGTCTTCTGTGTAATTGTGCCATTCTTGCGAGCACAATTACACAGAAGACAAACACTTTGAGTGAATAGAAATACTTTGATTGAATATAAAAAAAATATATATATTTTCCATTTTTTTCTTGTTTTTCTGTTTTTTCTGAAACCTACATCACACCTGACCGCATCTCACGATTTCTAAATAAATATCGATTAACGGTCACTAATCACCACACACTACTAATTAAGTTACTATCTGAGTTCAGGGCAATGAATAACATGAATAACTATTATAAAACACACACACACACACAACTGCAATCAACATAAAAGAGTGAAAATACCATTCAGTGACAGCAGTGTTTTGAACAGAAAATTGTTTTATTTGTTCTCGCAGGTCGTTGGGCCATTGTGTTTTGAGACATCTAGGCGTATTGTCCGGAAATGACCGGGGTGAAAGTTTCAACATGTGTCGATTGAATTGTGATTGGAGATTTTGGTGAATTTTTTAATAACTAAATCTCGCAACATGTTTAATGCAATGGATGTCTAAAGCATAGTATAAAATGGCGCGTTAGGCGCGTAAGGTTTGAATTCGTATGAGGTTAGGAGTTTAATTGAATTCTGCAGTTCAATGTCGTAATTATCTATTGGTTTTGGTGTATATTTGTCTTTTGTTGTCCAAAGGTAATTAATTGGGAGGGTCGATTCATTTATCGTTTTAAGCCGTGTATGTGATTCGAAGAGAATCGCTTGTGTAAATACATCCCGAGGTAACGGACGACGTTTTTGCTAGGAAGTAACATTGTAATATACTGGGGTGAGAGTGACGTACTGGAGGGTAATGTTTATGGATTTAGATTTAGTTGCGTTTCGTTTAATATACCATTTGAAAATCCACTGCTTTATTGTGTAGAACCGAATTTATAAATATCGGTCAGGTATGATAGATTCGTGATTGGATGTAAAGAAATGGTAGAAATGGTCGGAATGAGAAAGGATATCGGACAACGTAATTGGGCCCATGACGCTACCCTTTGGAACTCCTGCATTCGACCTGCAAAAAAGAGGAATAGTATCCGTCCCAAACTCTAAAGTATCTATTATTTCCTTTTTTACAATTTCTATTACCTTTGAAGTTATAGAGAACGGTTTAATGTCTCAATCAGAAATATAACGTTTGGAACACAGCATCGTCATAAGCCTAATGCCAGGAACACACTTACCCGATGCTACGCCATGCGACGCTACCAGACGCCTTGCCACGTTTTGGGAGGTGTGCACATCTATTCGACGCAAGCACCCGTCGCGTACAGTCCACAGCGTTTATCACAATAATCACTATCACAATCGCAACGCATATTTTGTTCTTAATGCACTATTTTGAGCAAAACCTTGTAGAGCCATGTAATAAATTGTTAGTTAAATTTCATGAGCACAACCATCTAATAAATTGTTTGTTAAACTTAATTTTTTTAAATAAAGTTACTCCTAACCATCATAATTATACAATGTTTATAAAAACCTTCGCATTTTTGATCTCGTTTAATTTGGTTTACATTAAAATAACATGTAATTAAAATAACGAAAAAATTACATGTACTTAATTTGAAATAAACTAAAAAAATATGAGTGTTCTGATGGTACCCGACATTACAAAATGGTGTAATTTTACGAGGAAAACTATGAAATAAATAGTTAATTAAATTTTATGAGCAAAACCGTGTAATAAATTGTTCCAATTTTAGTATATGTACCGCCGAAGCGAGTAAAATAAATTGTTAGTAAAATTCATTACATCAAAAAATCGTATTCCGCTGTTTTGATTAATTTTCTACCAAACCATTAAAATTAAATTTTTACATAAAAACTAATTAATATTTAATCACAGTTAATTTGGTTTTTATTAAAATAAGTATGTTGTAATTAATATAACGACAATAATACATGTAGTTTGAATAAAAATATGAGTGTCCGGTTCTTTTGTCTTCGACTGTACTCGATGCGACCCGACGAAAATCTGGACAGTGGGGATCGCAGAGCGTCTGGTAGGTTAGCGTGGCATAGCATCGGTTAGATGTGCACGGTAGTGGTAATGCAACCTTATGGAAAATCGGAGTTTGGATTTGCGTCGGGTAGCATCGGGTAGTGACGCATGGCGGAGAATCCGGTAAGTGTGTTTCTGGCTTAACCATAACTATCTTTCAACCCGAATGATAGCAATAACAAGTATATTAGTAATAAGTATTAATAATTCATTAGAGTTTGTGGTCCGCTTGACCGAATAACATTTTTCAATTAATTAATCTTTAATAATGTATTGATTGATATAAAAAAGTCAGTGTCACGAGCGGGATTCGAACCCCGACCCTCGGTAAATACGCCGCTGCTCTAACCACTTGAGCTATCGTGATTTCAGCCAATACCTTACATAAAGATTAATTAATTGAATAATAATAATAATAATAATACTATCAGCTAGCCAGGCAGGTTTTTAAGTCGACGAAGTCTACTCAAACTACTCTGAAACTGCCTAAAAAAATTGTAATTAACAAATAGTTTAACGGTGAGGGGATTTCAGGTAAAGAGGCAACAGACGTCGTTATAAAAAAGGAAACTCGGAACAACATATAGGTCCAAATCAATTTTGCAACATAAATTATAGCCACATTAAAATGAATATTAAAAATAATACTGGAATATTGGGTCTTTAAAGGCCACAACAAATACGGGGAATATGTGCCAGCAAGGAGGGCAAGTAAAAACACTGGTCCCAAAAACGACCCCAGAAGGTGGAAGATATCGTCAATAGAAAGACTCAAAAACTCTAACTGGTAAATAGGTTGTCTTCGAATGATCGAATTACAAGAACAGAATCGATGTTGGGGTGTTGAGGGAAGACAGCCGTATTGAAAAGTAATGATCTTGGGTGTATTTCAATTTGTTAAGTACCAAGTAACAATTTGTTAACCTATCTATTTTTATGTTTGTGTTTTCCAACGTTATTTAAAAATATTATTAATTTTTTTTCGTTTCAAGTTTATTTATATAATTTCAGATGTAATTATTGTAATTAATAGTCACTTTTTTTCTTTCATCCTCTCTTCTTTAAATTTGCCAGTCGAAACCAGTCTGCATATCTGTAAACAAAATAAATGAAATGAATAGATATATTTGATTACAAAATAACAAAATAAATGTGTGGTGATTAGTAACCGTTAATCGATATTTATTTAGAAATCGTGAGATGCGGTCTGGTGTGATGTAGGTTTCAGAAAAACATTTTATTTATCGTGCCAACGTTTCGATCTTTATTGAGATCATCTTCAGGGCCTTGTGTTGTCTGCATTTCAGCAAAAAAGTTCTCTGATTGATGGCCGATGCGAGTTTCTTCTCATTGGTGCCGATGTCTTTCAGTATACTTTTAGCTTCGTGTCCATATGTAGTTGCAATTTGTTCATAGAATCCCATGTTCTTCGTTCTTGTCGTGTAGAAATGTGTGGTGATTAGTGACAGTTCGAAATTTATTTATTTAAACTTTTTTGCTGAAATGCAGACAACACAAGGCCCTGAAGATGATTTTAATTAAGATCGAAACGTTGGCACGATAAAGAAAATGTTTTTCTGAAACCTACATCACACCAGACCGCATCTCACGATTTCTAAATAAATAACAAAATAAAATTGATCGTACTATGAATAATTGATGTACTAAAAAAACTGGGTTTTATTATTAGTGTATAAAAGCCCATAAGTATGTCGGGTTTGAATGAAGGGCCGCTGGTTTCGAACCCGGGGCCTTCACCTTACGATGAACGTGATGAACGCCGTGTCAACGCCTAAACCGTTGCGGCCACCGACGCTATTTACTGAGGTGATAATCTACCAAAGCTATTAAAGATTCAATTGTCTTTTGTTGTCCCATTGATGATGCCACCAGTTATAGACAAAAATGATTAATTGTAGTTTTCGACATTCAGGCTTCAATATATATGAATCCCAAATAATTGAAAGTATTGTTTAATGATTTAAATACATTAATCACTGCTGCCTTTTGCACTATTGTTCTAAATTTATGGCTTGGAATTAAAACAAAGCTGTCCAGGGGTGAAAGCAAATGTGTTGTTTTGATTTCCAGAGCCTTTCTATACTTCAAAGGATTAAAGGTCGTTTCTAAAATTAACCTTTTCAACCAAACCGCTAATGAAAATCAAAGGCATTGTTAACCACAGCTTACATAATATATCCGTTAAATTATAATTTGCTTTCCATTAAACAACGATGTTTTTTTGTAATTAGTTTTTAAACAAGTTTCTTGTCTTTTATCTACGTGACATAAGGACTGTTAAACCGGGACAAACGTGGCAAACGTCGCGGTGTGAAAATTTCGCGCGATTAATATCAGTGTGTACCACGGAGAAAGTTTGTCTCTGCTCAAGAATAAAGTTTTCCCTCCCCAGCATCTGAAATTTGCACATGTATTGCGGTGAGGGTTTATAATGAGCTTAGTTGGGGAAAATGTGTGTTTGTGAGGACCTAGAAGGGATTTGACGTGAACTCGCTCGTTCTGCGAAACTGGAAAACTCTCCAACCGCGGGTCGAAGGGAAAACCACATTTCGACGTTGGCTCAAGTCAAGTTCAGGACCAACCGCATTTTTTATGTATATTTTGTAATATTTTTTATTTAATATCAGTCAGTCTTTGTGTTTTGGTATAAAATTAACCTTATAACTTTAATGAATCAATGACAGTTTTACTTTAGTGTTACACGGCCTTTCTCTTCTGTCTTATGTTTGGTCTATTTTCTTTAAAAACAATTGTGCCATCGCTCTTAGCTTCCGGGTAACTCGTTCTTTCTTTTGAACTAGGAAATACAAACCTATCAGGCAGCATTATTTTTTACCTGGACCTGCTTTTCTCCCAAGATAAAAAGAACCGAGAAATGAAGATTACAAACATAAATTCTATTGAAAAAATGCCATTTTTGTAGTATACCATAAAAACGAGCAATTTTGTACAGAATAAAAGTAAAATATCTGCCTTAAATGTAATCCAATATATACACGCACGTGTGCCCACACACACACACACACACACACACACACACACACACACACACACACACACACACACACACACACACACACACACACACACACGCGCGCGCGCGCGCGCATATACGCACAGGGTGTTCGGTTACTCGAGTTACAAATTTTGCCAGTAGATTCTACATTCAAAATCACAACAGTTTCGGAGTTATTTTCCTTTTTCTGATTTTTAATTTTTTTAAGATTTCACGACCTTGCTTTCAGCATACAACGATAACACCAAAACTAAAAGGTTTCGGACAAATCCGTTGATACCACTGAAAACTAAGTAAAATTTTCAATAAGATGTGATCAATACTAAATTTGTAATCGTTGGTGAAGTAAGTGTTTTAGTAGCCAGAACTTTGAAAATAAATTTTTTTCAATGTTGAATAATTTATTATGGTGATCTAAACTCCTACTTTCCAAGCCTAATTTCAAGCAAGTTTCAGAAAATATTTAATAATTTTAATAATATTTAATAATAAAATATTTAATAATAATAATAAAATATAATTTAATTTTCCATTTAATATCCTCTTTAGTGGTGTAATCGCTATATTAATTATTTTTCCCAAATGTGAAGAAATTGATGATGCAAAGGAAAAACGTGGTTGATGAATTGGTAAGGTGGAAAGATTAAAAAAAAATGAAAACCTTAAGGAAAATTTGAATGAATATATTAAACGTTTTTTAGTTTGGGTTCGAAACCGAAATAATGCAAGTGCTTACTTATGTACCACACGACCGCAACTTTTATTAAAGGTTTATTGTGTTATTATTCCCCGGAATAAAAGACTTTTAAGCTTCAAAACGTTTTTAGGTTATTCATTCAATCTTTTAATAATACCAATCCGTCAACCACGTTTTTTTCTTTTCTTCATCAATTGCTTCATCTTTGAAAAAATAATTAAAAAAGCAATTACACCATTAACAAGGATTTTAAATGGAGTTCGTTTTCTGAAATTTGCTGGTTTCTAGGTTTGGAAATAGTAGTTTAGCATCATCGTAGTAAGATTTTTAACTTAAAAAAAATGTTCTCGAAGTTCTGGCTACTAAACGCTTATTTCACCAACGTTTTCAAATTTAGTATTAATCACATCTTATTGGACATTTATCCTAGTTTTCAATGGTATCAACGGATTTGTCCAAAACCTTTTAGTATTGGGGTTATCATTGTATATTTGAAACGAGATCGTGAAAGATTAAAAAATCAGAAATAAGGAGTTAACTCTTAAATGTAAAAAAATTTATGATAAAATTAATTTTGATAAAAATAAAAGTTTAAACGGGGCCTGACGGGAAAGAGCTGCAGTGCTGAACAGATATTCTCTCTTCTGGGTTGGAGTAAATAGGACGTCTTATAGAGCTGATAAGCAGTATAAAAGCCATAGATCCTCAACTTGACCTTTTTATGGAAAGAATATTCAATATAAGATGTAAAAAATAAAGTCATTTTTATTTTCATTCGTCCCATTTTTCAAAGTTACTGGTTGGTCCTAAGTTCAACTATTTTATTTTACAGAATATTTTATAATTTTCGACATAAAGGAATAGAAGATTTTATGTTAATTTGTTTTCATTGAAAGATAAATTGGTTTAAAAGCTAAAATATTATATTTTTATGTAGAACAAACTGGATTGTTCCAACGTAACAAAAAAGAAAACATGAGTTTATATTACGTTATTTTTTTAATTTGAAAATAAATTTCTATGAAAATTTATTTTTTTAATTAATACATATATGATGGTTTCTGTGTGCCTAAGTAAATTAAATTGTTACTATAAACCTCAATACAATTAAAAATAAAATTTAAATAATTAAAAAATTAAATTTAAAACACTCAAATTTAAAGTTATTCATACTGCATATTATTATTTTATGAAGCATTAATCGTAATATTTATAAAAAAATATATTGTTCAATAGACAATCAAATTTGGTTCCCAATTATTTAAATAACCGTAAGTAATTATATACCAATTAAAATTTAGTTTTTAAATTACTTATCTTCTCTGGCCAGTAACGTTCGACTTCTTGGACACGATCAGGAACCCACTTTTTCCTTGAAAGAGGAAAAATTATAGTAAGTGACGGAAGTAATATGTTCGTTAAGGAGCCACCATATGCCGTTGACAGAAGCCTCTATCTTTGAACTTGGTATAAGGAAGCCGAACAAGATTTAATCATCAAGATTGGACAGAAACCCGTGCTACTAGACTAAGACTAACTTGACAAACGATTTAACTTGTTTTATTACCTACTAAACCGGCAAACAAAATTTCCATTAAAATTAAAACTTTTGAAATTACACATACCTAGTCACCCTTATTTGAATTTAACAATGTCATGCTTATGTATCGGCCAAATATTCTAGTATTCAAATATTACAAAGTTTACAATCCAAAATTTTAAGACTAATTGTCTCTGCCCCTTCTTACCTAAACAATAACACATGTCAACTCACATGAGTTGTTCACATGCCAATTGTTCTTTCGTCCATCAAAACATATTACAGACGTTTTCGCAAGATCTCACTAACTCGCACGTATGATTACTCCATTCCCCACAATTACCACGTAGGCGCCTGAAATAATGTGGAAGAGGCTTCTTGAATGATTAACATCACATTATTAATCCAGAGCGGTTGCCAATGCTTTCTCTATAACGAGAGAGAGAGAGAGAGAGAGAGAGAGAGAGAGAGAGAGAGTGTGAGGAGAAATATAATTTATAGAGGAGAGATGTAGGAGAGACAGAATCCCCAAATAAAAATTTAAAAAAATATTTTTTACTTTTACTTGAAATAAGTAAAGAATAATGGATGGATAAAGAATGAAAGAGAGAGAAAGAGAAAGAGAAAGAAAAAGAAAGAGAGAGAGAGAGAGAGAAAGAGAAAGAGAAAGAGAGAAAGAGAAAGAGAAAGAGAGAGAGAGAGAGAGAGAGAGAGAGAGAGAAAGAGAGAGATAGAGAGACATAGTGATACATTTGTGAATGAAAATAAATTAAGTAAAAAAATTGATTACAAATTAGTTACAAGAATTGCACATTTATA